TACATTTTAAAATTAAAGAAGAAGTGTTTCCATGAAACAGGACACAGGAATAGGGTAATGTTTCCCTTGTATTCCTAGGCATCCATTGGCCATCAGAGGGAGCTGTGTCCTTAGCCAAAGCCAAGACCTTGCACTCTGTTATCCTCTCCCAATCCTGGGCACCTGAGCCCTTAGCCACCCCGTAGATGTCCCTGTGAGAGTCACGGCAACTCCCATTGTGAGCCCTTGGTGCTCAGATAGAGTCCAATGCTATGGCTTATAGGGATGGGAAGTCCATGCTGGACAGCCTCACAGACTGGAGAATGAGAGAGTATGTGTCTGTTGTGGGGATCAAGGGCCAGAGAGGATTCAGACAGCAACCATTCTCTGGGTGGAGGACGGTCCTCAATGCTGCAGCCTCCAGCCCCTACTCTGAGCAAGGCCTGAGGCTGGAGGGGCGGAGGTCCTGTGTGGTACTCCACCCTGCCCTGTAATTGCCTGTTTATCTGAGTCTCCCCTCTAGAGCTCCCCAGGGGCATAGCTGGCCCAATCTGTCCCTTCCTGCTGAGCCTGGTGTGCTGAGCAGAGGGAGAACCCAGAGACCTTGGGGGAACAGAGGGCTGCCCTACCTTGAACCCGGTTCAACCCTGTGACTCCTAAACAGACCTTGCTGCCCATTTCCTTGGGTGTCTGATAGGACTGGAGCCTAACTAGGGCTGGCTATGCATTATCAGGCCTCCCAGGCCCTGCCCCCTGAAGAGGTAGCCTGGTTATTGGCAGGCCTGCTTCCCATCTGTATGGAACCTCAGCCTCCTGCAAGGCTGAGAGTCCAACCACAGTGATCTCTAGAAGTTTGGCCCCAGGGGCAGCCTGGCCAAGGCTCGGAGCTCTGGGCTAATTACATTCTACCTCCTGGTGCTGTTGTGGTGACAGCCTCTGGTTCCTGCAAGGAGGCCCTGGGGAGCTCATTACTATGCCTTCCATCCCCACTGACTGGGCCCTGTTTGTTGTCACCTCTCTTGTTCTGTCCTGTTGCCCTACAGGGCCTCCCCTGCCCTCCTCTGGTTTTCCCTGGAAGGGCAGTAGGGAAGTCTCACTCTGAAGCCCCCACTCACCTGTACATTCCCAGTGCTGAACTTCAGATGCACATGTATCATGGCTGGAACACTCTTCACCTTCCTCTAGGAAGCTGTTCCCTTATTCTTAGACCTCAAGGTGACCTGGGGCTGATGGGCGCAGCGTTCAAAGCCAGCCAGGCTGAGTCTGTTCTGGCTACTAGTCACTGACTCTGGGCCTCAGTGTGAACCTGACTTTCAGCCCTAGGGGCAAATCCTGGGGGTTTGGAAGTTCCTTCCTTGCACACTTTGGTTCTTTTCCCCTCTTCCCTTGTGCTTCAGCCTAATCATGTGTTCTGCAAGGTTCCCTCTTTTAGGGGTTCCCAGGGCTTCAGTATGGCCTCCCCGACTCAGTAGTTTGTTTCCTAAGGCAGAAAGTGGACCAGGCCGCGTGAACCCACACTTAGGATGTGATTAAGTTAAATACTTGTCACCAGACTCAGCTTAGGCCAGACCCCAGGCTCCCCAGTGCCTGGTGCAGCTCCAAAGGCGGGATGAGCTTGCTGCCTGCTCTCAGCTGCCTGGGACCTAGGAGGAGCCAGCCAGGATTCCGGCTGGAAGAAAATGCAGAAGTGACCATGGTGCAAAGCAATAACATACATGTTCTGGGGGTGGGGAGTGAGGCATGAGATTGACAGTCCTGAACAGTGTTCAGGAGAGCCTGAGGATATTGGGACCAAACAACAATTTTTTTTTCTAGTTTAAATACTTCCCAGTTTTCAGGGATTGCAGCGGGAAGATCTTGAGTTCAAGGTTTGCTACTCATTAAACTACTCATTAAACTCTGTGTCAGTACCAAGGAAAGCAACAACAAGTTGAATGTTTCCCATATCCCAGCTCATGCCTTGGTTATGAATTGGGCCACTGAGAAGTGATGGATGGAGGACTGAAGCATATCCTGTGTGCACAGGATGTTCCACGTCTGGAAGATGTGATGTGCACAGAAGGCCCGAGTGACTTTCACGATCCAGAGGCAGCGGCTTTAGGGGTCTCCTCATCCTCATTTCCTTCTGGTCTTTGCTGCTGCTGAGTTCTCATACTCAGGTCTGCACACACAGATGCCACTTTAGAGCGAGCGGCCTTTCTCTCCTGCGTTCCCATGGCCTTGGGTGGCTCCTCACAGAGTCTGTCCTGTGGCTGGCTGGCACTCGTCCATCCTCCCTCACTGCCCACAACCTACCACACAGCTCTTCGCTGGCTCTTCCAACCCCTTCTGCCTGCTCTGTCCGTGAGTCTTTGTTACAAAAGTCACATCCTCCACTCTAACTTCCTGAAAAGTGTACCCTTCTACTCAGGAGTAGACCAGGCCCCCCTAGAGGTTTCATGGCCCTGGATCCTCATTAGGAGAGGCCGAGCCCCTCTCCCTTCCCTTAGGTTGCAGGAACCCTACTTTTTCCATCTGTGAGTGGCTGTACAGATGCCAGCTTTCTCGGCCTCAGCATCCGGTGTTGCTGTCCTTGCCAGCCCTCTGTGCTGGCTTGTTGCCTGGCGCAGAGTGCTTGCCACCTCTAATTTCTGGAGATAATTGTGTCTATAAGGTTAATCTCTGCCCTCTGCCCTTGACCCCCATAGCTCTGGTTCTTGGCGTCAGCTCCATCCATATTCACCGTCAACAGCTTACTGATGTACCCACAGCTTGTCTAGAACCCCTTTTCCTGAAGCGCTTCAGAGAATCTCTACTTCACCTTCTAGGCCTCGAGTCCCTTAGCCACCTTTTGTCCTTGTCATCCATCCATTCATTTGTTCATTCATTCATTCATTCATTCATTCATTCATCATTTCTGCCATTCATTCGGCTATCTGAGCATCCCCTGAGCATGGCAAGCCCTTTTCTCATGTACTGTGATGAACAAGACAGACAACACCTGCCCTATCAGGGCGTCTGGTCCAGTGGAGAGATCCTAGACACGGAGCAAGAGCTGGAGTCCAGGTCAGCGGGAAAGCACCTGCCTGCCCTGGGCAGAGCGTGAGCTTCCATCCCCAGCACCCTCCTCACACACACCAGCTGTCACACCATACACTCATTTGACTTATTCACACTCACACACACCACTCCTATTCACACTCACACACACCACTCTCCCAGACACATAAGCAAACATACAAACACAAGTTAGATTTGCCATGTGGCTAGGTGGGAAAAAAGAGCTTGTTTGTTGCCTGACAATCTGCCTTCAATCCTGGACCCTTACAGTGGATGGAGAGAACAAACTCCCTCAGACTGTCCCCCGGCCTCACATGCCTACACATGCACATGTGCACATGTGCACACAATAAATAAATGCAATGAAAAAAACCATTAAGATCAGATTGTAGTGTTGGAAGCACAGACACTGTTTCTCTTCAGAGCGTAAGTAACCGTGCCTCAGTCACAGCTTCCAGGCACACTCCTGAAAGCCAGCTGGGGAGTAGGCAGCGTGACTTCATCTCTTACCATTACTGCTTTCTGGAATTGCTGCTAGTGTCCCCAAGGGCTCGCCCCATGGTTTGAGGTTGACTTATTTTTTTTTCGGCACTGGGAACTGAATTCAGGATCTTGTCTATTCTAAGTGAGCACTCCACAGTGATACCTCTGAGCTTCTCCTTCATCCTAAAACCCTCACAGGGAGGCTGAGGCAGGAGGATTGTGAGATTGAAACCAGTCTAGGCAACTTACTGAGATCCTGCCTTAAAATAAAAGGAACTGATCTAGGGGGTGTGGTTCAGTTATAGAGGCCTTGAGTTCAATTCCCAGTACTGCACAAATAAACAAAATAAAACAACCTGCCATGGTGACTCATACCTGTACATCAGCACGCAGGAGACTCAAACAGAGTTTGAGACCAGCCTGGATGGTTACACAGTGAGACCTTGTCTCAAAACAGAACAAAAACAAAACAAGGCAGGCAAGTTGCCCATCATGCATCATGGGGCCCTGTGCTGTTCATAAGCCCAACACCCTACTGGTTCACTTGGCCTCCATCTGGCAATAGAAAGTGCTTCTGGTCCCCTAGACTGTTCTAATTGTTTCCAGCTACTACACCTCACCCCATGCCTCTTTCGTGTGTGTGACATCCTGAGACACCAGCATCTCTGTCTCCACCACTCAGAGGCACTCACAGACTCCACTTCTGCCATCTGTCCACAGACACTGGGTTCCACCTCCCACCAACACCCGCCTATATGTAGGTCTTCAGCTTCTTCTCTGGCCTCACTTCTCCCAGGGGAGGTGGAGGATCAGTTTATGTGAAATGACTGGTAGGATTTTGGTGGAAGTGAGAGCCAGGCCCGTGGCTATGTGGTGCAGTGAGTGGTTAGAGTGATCAAACCATGGCCTCTAGGAGCCGAGCCAGCCATCTGTCTGGCAGATGATTTGGGATTTGAGAGCTGCAGGTTCAGATGGGAGGTGACAGCTGGGCTGGATCTGGATGGTGATAAAGGAGAGGGAGACACCGAGGGCATCTGACAGGACCTGGCAGGGGCTATGAGAGAATGAGGGAGGAGGAGGCAACCATGGAAAGTTGGCTTGGCTGACTACAGCAAACTAACAGGGTGTGCCGCTGGTGCTACCCCGTCCTGCCTCCTCTTCCTGGAGAGTCTTCGGTTACCTCCATGTGTCTATAACCCCAGCTATCTCCCAACAGCCCTGTGGAGTATTCTGTTCTTCACAAACAAGCAAACCTCTAGCTTGCCATTACCACTGTAGTCAAGGTGGTTGCCACAGCAGTTGATATCAGTGCTCTGGTCCCCAAGGAGCCTGTCACCTTCCAGCCTGCCTACCGCACGGCATTACCACTCAGAAGGCAGTTGGACACACACTCATGTGTCCCCTGTTCTGAGAACTGGGTGGGGCCAGAAAGACTGGAGAGGGAGGCGGGACTTCAGGTGGCCTCTTCTCGTGGTATCTGTGGCTCCAGCCCACTTGATTCCCTGACGTTGGTGGTAGTGGTGGCAGTAGCAACAGCTGTAGCACTTGGGCCATGGCAGAGGATGGGCCACAGAAACAGCAGCTGGACATGCCGCTGGTTCTGGACCAGGACCTGACCAAGCAGATGCGGCTCCGAGTAGAGAGCCTCAAGCAGCGTGGGGAGAAGAAGCAGGACGGCGAGAAGCTGCTCCGGCCGGCTGAGTCTGTCTACCGCCTTGATTTCATCCAGCAGCAAAAGCTGCAGTTTGATCACTGGAACGTGGTTCTGGACAAGCCAGGCAAGGTCACCATCACGGGCACCTCGCAGAACTGGACACCCGACCTCACCAACCTCATGACACGCCAGCTGCTGGACCCCGCCGCCATCTTCTGGCGCAAGGAAGACTCCGACGCCATGGATTGGAATGAGGCAGATGCCCTGGAGTTTGGGGAGCGTCTTTCTGACCTGGCCAAGATCCGCAAGGTCATGTATTTCCTCATCACTTTTGGTGAGGGTGTGGAGCCTGCCAATCTAAAGGCCTCTGTGGTGTTTAACCAGCTCTGATGACAGCCCTGGCTGCCTTGCCCCTGGCCCTAACTCTCCCTGCCTGGACCTCCTTCCTCATGTGTATTTTGGGGACACCTTCTAGCTGCTCCTTCTGTGCTCATCTTGGCCAGAGGCCCCCTGAATGCTGCATCTCCTCTTTTCCCCCTGGTGCCAGTGGTTCGGCTCACAGTGATGTCCATGGCTCCGTAGTCTAGAAGCTGGACGCTGCTACTATAGACAGTAGAGGCTTTTTGGGTCCATGTGCAAAGACGGATGGGCCTCTTGGATACCTGCCATCTCTGCTTTATTGTGAACAGCGGGATTGAGAGATAAAGAGACTGACCGAGAGATGTAAACAGCCAGCACTGATTTCCTTCAGGGATGGGAGACTGAGACTGGACTGGACAGGAACACCTTCTGGGAACCTGGCAAGAAGGCATTTGTTCCTGCTGGCCAGAGCTGGAGCCAGGAGGTCAGTGCCCAGCGGCACTCTGGCAGCAAGAAGGTGCTCCTCCCGGTGTCAGCATCAACCTGCCGTGACCTTAGGGCCTTCAAGACACTGGGCAGGATGACAGCAGGGCTTGATCTGACTGGCTTTCCAGGTCTGGGCACAGTTTTTATGGAGAAGTGAAAGAACGTGTAGAAACTTAAACGGCTCTAGATACCCACACTCATATGTGTATTGAGAGATAGCATGATTGTATTTGTATGGATGTGTGCCTGAGGGCTATTCTTGGTAAGGGGTAAAGCTAACTTTAGTTTAATTGTTGAGCTGGTACTGGCTTGTGGGCTTGGTGGAGGTGACTGACTGAAACTTCCTTGGTGTTGTGCTTTTTGAACTGGGAGACTGAGGTTCAAATGGAAAAGCAGAGAACTGAGTTAGAGGGGTCCAGGGTTCTGAGTTAGAAACACTGATTCCCCATTAGGAAGGCTGGCATTTGCTGCTGTCTTCTCCCTGGGCATTTCCTGGCTGTTCTCCTGGAGTGCAAGTACATGAGTAAGGCTTGGGAGTGGTGGGGAGGGGAGCAGTTAGGATGCCTGAGGTCTGAAGTGGGCTGGAGCTGTCTGGCTGTGATGCCTAGCACGGGCCTCGGAGGCTGTCCAGGGCAACCCACTCAGCAAACCTACAGGAAAACTGTGCCTCAGTTATCAGTAGATTCAGCCCTACCCCAAGTCTCATTGTCCCTTGCCCTGCACATCCTGAGAGCCTCCCATTGAGAAGCCTCACCTGGCAGGTACCATCAGCCAAGGGCACCTCAGCAGTGTACCAGACCGTCTCAAGGCTTCCTCTACTGGGGATACCAATGCATCAAGATCTGAAGAGGTAGGAGCTGTCCCAGTGGATGGGCTGCCAGGAGGGCAAGCCCCAGCTCAGGTTCAGGATTCTGGAGGCAGGAGATAGGCTGTGGTACCCGTCTCTTGTACTGGTGCCTCTGCTCTGTAACATGCTTGCATGCTTACCTTTCTGACCTATCCCTACAGCTTTAGAGACCCCTTTGGTTCACACTGACTTCCCCAACTCTGCCTCACTCCACATGCCCTGTGGGGACACGAATGTCTCTGCTGTGCCTCTTACACAATAAAGACTGTGTGCCCTCCCCTCTGTGCTGTGGTGTGTGTGTGCCTCTGTGGTGTGGTTTCTATATCTCACTGCAAGCCCAGAGCTTTAGAAGCCTTCTCTCGTGGGCCCTGTGGTTCTGAGGAATTCCCCTGCCAGCTTTGAGGAGGAGGTCGAGCAATGAGATCTCTCATCAGGACCGAGTTTCACCAGTCATAGGTCTTCTGGCTGTCCTGCCTGTACCAATCCAGCCTCTAGGGTATGGAAGAGCATGCTGAGGCTATGCTTGGGGCAGGGAGTGTAGTGGGCAGGACTGATACTAATTTAGTGTGATCTTGGTCACTGCTTGGCTGTGTCCGCTGAAAGCCCCTGACCCTCTCCTGGGCTTGACTTTCCAATAGAGTCTCAGGTTCCATGCCACGTCTTCAAAACTTTGTCCTCTGATCTTGACATTGGGGTAGCTGATAGTGACATCCCTTAGCGCCCCTCTGATCTTTCATGGTTCAGCTCTCATCGTCTCCTGTATTCACCCATCTTTGGATAGGGACAATTGAGGCCCAGTGGAGGAGGACTCCATCCTGGGGCATGGCAGGGGTAGACTGGGAGTCGAACTCTCAGCCCTTAGACCTTTGATCTCACAACTTTGACCTCCTGTGATGGGTTAGGGAAAGATGCTCTCCCACTACTTCTGAGGACCCAGGCCTATTAGGATGGCTCTCTACAGAGAAAGAAGTAGTAGTGAGGTTCCTCATTAGAACTGGGCTTCCAGAAGGCTCTATGGGTTGGCTTGCAAATGCCCCTAGCTTCAAGGGGGTCTCCCTCAGCTTTTGTTACCTTGCCCCTTTTAACCTTCAGAGACACCTCCCTGTGCTGCCTCCCCGAGGCTCAGGAGCTCTGTGTTCTCACGTGCCCCTCCCTAAATGCCTCCATCCATTTCTTCCAGCCAGCCTTGAAGCTGCTGGTCTCTGAGAGAGGCAGAGTTGAGGAGAAGAAGAGTCCAGCTCCCAGGCCCTGTGAACTGCAGTGGTCTGGGCCTGTCCCCAGAAGGCATACAGTGGATATGATCCATTTGCCATGGAAACCACTGGGAATCACAGAGTGAGAAATCCTGCTGTCCTGGATCCTCTGCCAGCCAGAAAGCCAGAGTCTCTGTAGCTGTGAGGCTTTGTTCCGCCAGCTCCTACCCTGCTGTATGGCCCCAGGCAACCTTTCTTGGACCATTCTCTTACCTGGTAGTCAGGGGTGCTCCCCTTACAGGTTACCAGGAAGGTCAAATGAAGAATGTCTGTAGAGCTAACACCCTGGAAGTCACTTGATCTTCAGTGGCCTCATACTGTCCCAGCGACTGCTGCAAACTGTATATCATCTTGAGAGAAGGGTTGGAAGGTCTCCTCACTGAATGGGAACTTAAGGTTCAGAGAGGTGAAGGGCATTGCCTGAGACTGCATAGCAGGCCAATGCTTATGGCGGCAGGTGTTGTGAAAGGCTGAGTTCTCCCCACTATAGTCAGGCTCAGATGTCCCAGCTGAAGGCAATCAAACTATGCCTAGAGAAGGCAGGACCAGTGTTCTACTGCCCCACGAGCAGGAGTCACTGTGGCCAGAGAAGTGTAGCCCACCCTGTGCTCTGGACGAATTGTTCCGGGGGCACAGGGATGGTACCTCACTTCCTGGCCTCTCCATTCACTGTATCTGAATCTGAAATCGGAAGCTAAGACTTGAGGAATCCCACAGTAGGGGCTGTTAAATTCAGGACTCCAAAAGGCCTGGTCCTCACCTCACCCAACTCAGGCAACACAGAATCCCCCGGCAACCCCCACCCTGCTGTTTCATCAGGGTTGCTCAGCAATGCCCTGAGCTAGCCCTGGAGATAAAGGCAGGGATCTGAAAAGCTCCTGCCTGTCCCCTGTTCATCACACTTGCTTTCACGTTGCTCACACTACACACAGGTCCTGGGCAATGCCAGGTGAGTGTACACAGGGTTGGTGCTGTCCAAGGGGGATTGCAGCCAGGCACTTGAGTCTGAGAGCTTTCCAGGAAACTCAGCACTAAAGGGCGTGTGGTTCCCATCCAAGGCCTGTGAGGAGCTCTACAGCCCATAGTCTTTCAGCTTGAGATGCCAACACGTACAACTGTCTGTCTGTCTGTCTGTCTGTTTCTCTCTCTCTCTCTCTCTCTCTCACACACACACAGACACACACACAGACACACAGACACACAGACACACACAGAGAGAGAGAGAGAGAGAGAGAGAGAGAGAGAGAGAGAGAGAGAGAGAGAGAGAGAGAGAGAGAGACCGAGACCTCCTGGCCTCTGCAGGAGCCAGGCATGATGTAGTACACAGACATGCATACAGGCAACATACCCTGTGTGTTTATATATTATAACTTTTAACTTACCATTAACTTTTAATATAATATGTATGTATACATATACACACATATATTTTCTATAATATTAATATGCAACCAAAATATTTTAACGTGGTCCAAAATGTTTGGAACCCAAACCTTCAGACTTCAGGACTTTTTTGGTCTTTATATATACCTTACTCATTGAGCAGTCCTTGTCTGAAAACCCCAAATCCACAGCTCCAGACTCAGAAATCTTCTGAACATCTGTCAGTGCTTAAAACCTTTCATGTTAGGGGTGCCTTCCTTGGGTGACTTAATACACAGTAAGTGCTCTGGTTTCAAGGATGCACAGGGCTGGCAGTCTGCTTCTGTGGCATCCAAACAGAACTCCATAAAAGCCATGCCCCTGTCTCCCTTTCTCCTGTTCATTTTCCCTGCAATTTATTTATTGAAGAAACTGGGTCATTCGTTGTGTGGATTGTGTTAGTTGTACCCTCAGGGGTGTGCGAGTGACATGCTCTCTGGCTGTTGCATTCTGTAACCTGCGGCTGTCCCAGAGGCTTGATAAGATTCAGAGTTTTTGAGTTTGTTTTGTTTTTTACCTTCAGAAGTTACATCTTGCCCTCTTCGTCCCTGCCCCCACCCCCACCCCATGCAGGATTTCTGCTCACCCTTCCCCCACCTCCTAAGTGCTGGGATTACAGGCATGAGATATAACACCGATTTGGTGCCGGGGAGCCAACCCAGGCGTCCTACACCTTAGGCAAGCATTCCACCAATTCCTCCTATTCTTTAAGAGTTCTTTGAAACAGGGTCTAGCCCAGGCAAGCCTGAAATTTGGTCTCAAATTCTCCAACCTCTGCCCCACAACCCAGTAGTAGGATTTTATACCCACAACCATGAATCCATCTGTGGTTTCAAAATAAAAGTCACCCGATCTCACCCTTCCTTCCTCATTTATCTCCTGGGACTTTTTTCCAGGCAGAGACCTCCCTTCCCTTGCTGCTTGATTGTCTTCTGGTATGGTATACAGAAAAAGCAGGGTCTGTGTTTCATCCTTAAATTTTCCATCTCAAGAAGTAAGTCGATCCACTACTTTCCTCCGGT